CTCCCCTCCCCTCCCCTGGAACAACCTCCTTCTGCTTCTCTGAACTTGGTTTTACAACCCCTGCTGCCACAGTTCATGTGCTGGCTGCAAATGGATGTGGGAGGGGGTGAGTGAAGAGAGACAGAGCATTGCCTATGGCAGTGGCACATGAGAAATCTTATGGTCTTTGGGATGCGCTGCTTCCCAAGAAAATGAAAACAGCAGCACAGGTACCAGGTGAGGTTCTCTTTGGAGAACAACTGAGAGCTATGGGAACAGTACCAAAATCCCTCCTGCTTTTGGCACCCTCCATGCCTCAGAATGGGAAGGCGCAATAGAACGGGGACCAGGCAGTCCCGATTCCAAGGGTCTGAGAAGGCAGTGAGTGTTTTCCATCAACTGTCCAACAAGCAACCAGTGCAAAAGCCACTGAATTCTTTTTATTGCTTTGCTCTTAACACATTTCATACTACAACCAATATTTAATTTAGTTCAAGGAAAGGCTTGGAAAACAAAATTACCTTATCTCCTTTTCTTATTGTTCTTACTTGCAATTTGCTGATTGCTTTCTTTGCAGCATCTCCAAGGCGACGCTGAAAATGCAAAAATCCACTCTTTACTAAAAGAGCACATCTTCATGCCAACATTCTAATGTGTCTCTATCATAGTGGTTTCATAATCCAAGATCTTAAATGAAAGAAAAAAGACCTATGTAAATGACTATTACAGGATTCAGAGATGGCACTATCTGGGGAATACAACTGACAAAGCAACTGCTGCTGAATATATGACTGTTTATCTAGTCCTCACCACACTGTTATGAAGTTAAATCTACCAGAACAGAAACAGCTGACAGATAAGGAAAGTAAACATTTCATTGTTACTATTTATTGAATATTTAAAATAATTCTCTCAGTGTTTTATATATTTGGAGTTTCTATTTTCTTTTCCCATTTAGATGTGTATTTAACCTGTGACTTGTACAAGGACCTGGAGTGCATTAACAGATATAGACAACTTTTGAAGAATGAGCCTGAGGAGAACAGAAACATGCTGATACAGTTGGTCTTTATGTAAATACTTCTGGGTATGACAGATTTTAGGGCCAAAGCAGACATGATGCAGGAGAACCATGACTAAAAGGAGGGACCCTGGCTCAGCACGCAGCACATGAAGAAATAAAATAACAGGTTATGTGAGAGATTCTCCACTTGAGACCATGTACAGTTCTTGCCAAGAGTCAGAGCAGACAAAGATGGTCAGAATATGCTGTCCTAGTCAGCTGTAGCAGTAAGTTTAACCAATGTTAGTATTACACCATTTTGGATTTGTGTCCACTTCAGTAGATGCATGGAGACGTAAATAAAACGACACAAACGGAAGATCTTTACCACCATATTAAGTTCTCACTTACCATATTTCTGTATTGTAATGTCAGGTCATGCTATTTATTGTTTTCCTTCTTCTATAATTTTTAGGTTTAGTTACTGTGATTAGGCTTGTGAGCTTTTTTTTTTTTTTAAGAAACAGAGGCAGGAAATAAATGGACAGAATACATGCAACACTGATTTTTCTCCATTACTGAACAAGTAAAGCTGTCTGCCTGCAGACTTGAGGATTAGGATAAAAATTATACCACATATTTTGCATCCAATGTCTGGAATGTGAATCATTGCTCACCCATCTGTTTCCATTTGCTTGTTTGTTTGCTGTTTGTTTGCTCAGGGCACCATTCCAGGTTTCAGTAAGAGGAGACAAAGATTAAGGTCAGGGGGAGAAACACATATATGCAAGAAGAAATTACAAAATAGCAGTGGTTACTTTAAGAGTGTTTTTTTGCCTCCCCCCCCCCCCCGCAAACCATGTAATGAAACTATAACAAGGCTATCAACACAGGCCAAGTTGTCAGTATGCTGATGATATGCATTGCTATTTTTCCTCTTCTTTTTCCACAGGTGAGACTGTGAATCTGCTAGTGTCTGCCTACAGCAATGGACTGAATGAGGGCTAACAAACTGAAACTCATTCTAGACTAGACAGAGGCTGTTGATGGGTAGTTCCTTTGACCCGATGGAAGGGATTAAACCATTTCTGGATTGCATTGTAGTCCATTTGGGCCCAATTCAAGGGGTTGGTTTTATCCTATAAAGCCTTGCATGGCTTGGAACCACAGTACCTGTTGGAGTGTTTCTCCTAACTGCTATCTGCTTGGGCGCTATGCTCAATCTCTGGGGCCTTCCTCTAAGGGCCAACATTAAGGGAGGTTTGCAGGGTGGCAACACTGGGGAGGATTTTCTTTGTGGTGTCTCCTCCTTATGAAACAAATTCCCCACTGCAGCCTGCCTGGTGTTGAATTTGTCATCCTTTTGGTGCCAGGTTAAGATGGCCCTTTATGCCAAGGACAGTCGGGGGCCTGAGGGGATCATTGAATAGTAGAGTTGGAAGGGGTCATGAAGGCCACCAGGTCCAGCCCCCTGCTGCTGCAGGACACCAAGTTACACCATCCCACTCAGATGGTTGTCCAGTTTCTTTTTGAATGTCAGGTGTTTTTGCAGAGTCATTCTTTGTTGTTTGTTTTTAGCTGTTTTAAACTTTTTAAATGTTTTTTGTTTTCATGAAATGTTTATTGGATTTTATTATGGATTGTTGTAAACTGCCCAGAGACCTTTTGACTGAGGGACAGTATAGAAAGAAATGACAACAACCATCTATTCCCCTCCAGATGTTTTGGCCTGCAACTCCTGTCAGTTCCAGCCAGCATAGCCAATGATGAAGCATACAGATTTTACAGTTTGCACACAGAGTTCCTAGCTAGTCCCTGACCAGGCCTAGATATATTTAGCTTTAGTGAAGTTGTTACACCATTTTCTGTCAGATGATAACCTTTACTCCATGGTTTAATGAAGCCACCATCTGTGCTAGAAATTTCAGAGATTTTAACGCATTTGGATATTATTTAGAAAGAATTTGAATCACCAAAATCTTCTTCTGGGAAATAATTTGAGAAATTATTTTTCTTATGTTATGGTTCAGAGATCAGCAACTTTTTTGTGTTTTAATTGTGTAATAGGATAATATAGCTTCCTCTGCAATAACAATTTCCAGAACTATAGCAAATTTGATGTGATAATACGTGCCCTTGTCAGAAGGGACACAAACAGGTAGTGCAAACTACTGAAAGAATAAAAACAGGCTGCAAGAAAAGGGAAAACAAGAGCATGATGGAGTTATTTGAAAGAATGTGCATGGCCTAAAAAGTTACAGAAATTGCTATGCATCATATGCCAGTGAGCTTAATACTGAGTGGAAAGAATGACAAAGGCCAAGCTAAGGAGGACAAATGTCTACAACAAATGCCTTCAGCAGAAGATATGGAAAATCTACATACTTCAAATGTCAAAAATGCAAACTTGCAAAACAATTAGCGAATCAGTGAACTAGTGACATGAAGCTTTTCACTTTTTCCCCAAGAAGATACAAAAGTAAGAGTAAATACATGAAAGGCAAATGTCAAATATTGCTTAGAATAAGTTGTGTAGTGCAGAATGACATTTTCATTCTATTTCTATATACTACACAGTTGACGCTGTATCTTCTACTGATGTTTTGCACCATGATCCAGACAGAAGGGAGTACTTTACAAAAGCACCTGTGTGACAGGCAATGCTGTTGGGAAAAACAAAAATTGACACAGCAAAGAGTACAGACTGATGAAAACCTTCATATTTACAGCTCTACAATGTACTCAAACAGAGTAAATAAAATTGCAAAGTCCAAGCAAGGATTGTTGACCAGAATGCATTGAAATTAATGCTCACTGAACCTTATGGAAAGAAAATTTTGTTTTTATGTCCCAAAGAGAAAAACACAATGATGATGAGTTTTTAAAAGAGCAAATAGTAGTCCAAGGATTACAAGCAGTGGCAGAACATGCCATAGTTAGAACACTCTTGACAGCTGTAGAAAAAGCAAGTATTTCTTTTCAAAGTATTTCCTACATTTATTGAACTGAGCTAAACTAAACATACTCTTTTAGCTGATGTTCTATATCTTTTCACATGTTCAAAGAAATTTAAGGGTATCTATCTAAATGTGCAAAGGACTGCATCTTTACAGAAGTGAATCATCCTTGTGTCACTTATGAAGGACTGCATGTAACACCTGTGCCAGATACATTTCTGTTGTAACAATGGTATATTAATGAATTATGCTAAAATATATATCATGTATATCTATTACTATGCATTACATCTGTTGAACAGATTTGTATGATACGTAAAAATATAATTTAAACTAAAAAAATGTTTTGCCTAATAACGTCACATATATTCTATGGACTCTCATTTCTCTAAATTAGTTAGAAAAAGATGCAAAGCTGCAGGTCACATTTACTTGTAGCACTGTGTTTTTCAGCGGTATACCTCATACATGCAGATTTTCAGGGTTGGATCCAGACTTACCCACAATTAGGGTAACCCAGCTGAAATGAATGGTATTTGTTACTCATGAGTAAATTATGCCTGCATTGATTTCAATGATCTAACCTTCAATTTCTTCTACAGAATCCATTTCTTGTAATGTTTGTCTCTTTTAACTTAAGTCATTTATAGTTCTTTAACTGAACATTGCACTTGCCAAATATTTTAGCTCATTATTTTTAAAATGCATACCATGTACTTGCTGGTCAGCATGCCAAAAAGAAATTTCCAATACAATTATGTAAGAAAGCAAAAATATATTATTACAAATCCACACATCTAAATATATGATGCATAGTAATGTTAGGTATTTTATGTCACAAACATATTTAACAATATATTTATTATATGTTCATTTTCTTTGTCTATTTTTCAACAACTATTTCATGTCCTTTCTGCATTGCATGTTTACTGTCCATTTCTCATGGATACAAAGCTCATATCAAAATATTCTACAATTTAGACTATATTGTTACAACCATAAGGTTTTGCTTCAGAAACACAAAAGGAAGAGGTGGACATGGCATGAGAAAACTCAGTTAAATAATTTATTAAAATGATAGTTTGGTGAATTCATACTCTGCCAAATGAAGTAATTTTCATTAAAAGTTAAATTTTCTTGTGATTTTTAACTTAACACTTCACTGTACTTACATGCTGCACAAATTTTAATTTTATTTCGTTGTTTCAGGAATTCATTGCTATTATTTCCTAACACACTGGCTTCAGAAGCATGCAAGGGAACATTTTTATCACTACTTTGAATTATGGCAACTATCCTGAAATCAAACCATATGAGTTGCAATATCATTTCCCCAAGTCAATATCTGCACTACTATACTATGGGATTCATTAGAATAAGATATTGGCCATCACTTATGGGACAGCCTCACTCTTCATGAATTTGTCTCCAAATCCTGCACCAATTTTTGAAGCCACACCAAGTTGATGGTAATAATGACCACCAAGTTGGAGTGGCTTTAAAAGGATTAGACAAATTCATGAATGGTGAGGTTATCCATTTCTACTAGTCATGAAACCTAAGGTGAGGCTTTGAAACTCCAGTATCAAAGACAATATGCCTCTCAATTCCGGTTGGTGGGTAACAAGACCAATATATTGTTTTAATAAACAATACCATGGCAAAGAGAGATTTAGCAATTTACTATGAAGAATAAAATGCAGCCAGGGATATATGCAATGAGGGTTCCTGATTACATGGAAAGCTTAATGCATAGAACTGTATGTACACAACCGTTCCATACTTATGCCTTTCTGTAAACACACAGAGACACCAACACTCTGGAGATGGAATGGAGATCCATGTTCAGTATGTGATGTGGGAAATACGTACACCATTCTAGTGGTGGAATACTGCCACTTTGAAATTGTTTATTTTATTCTACTGTTTTAATTCTGTATTTGTGCTTACATTCCAAAGAGTCTGCTTGGCCAAATATAAACATAGCATAATAGTCTTAGCAAGTACAATAAATCTCTGAGTTACAAATGTCTGAGTTATGAATATCTGTCCTTATGAACGAACTTCCATAAAGCCTATTCATTTAAAAATTCAAGTTAAAGACAAATGGTTCATAGTAACGGACACAGAAACATATTATGCTCATGAAAACATTCCACAGCATTGGTTGTTCATCGGCTCAAGCATACCCAAACCAGAGTGTTTCAGGTCACGGGCCTTCTGTAACTTGTATTACGGTATTGCATTGTGTTTAAAATGTTTTAATGCACAGTTGAACATCAACTTTCAGATATAATTAGTTTTGAGTTTGCCTCCAATCATTAAATGAATGGGGGGGGGTAGTTTTGTGGTCTACTGCAGGAAATCATCACCACCAGGGAGGGAGGGGGGAGTGAAAGTGGAGAGAGGGAGGGCATGCAGAGCTTGCTTTCCTGACCCGCCCATCCAGGGTGGGAAATCTCTCTGGCATTTCCCTGGTGCAAAGAGGTGAGTGAATGGGTGGAAAGGAATAAGAACATAAGAATGTAATAAATGAAGGAGGGAGGCTGTTGAATTAGACCAAGGTATGAGGGGGAGAGAGGGATAAGCAGCCCATTGCACATACGGTCAACAGTATTAAGAGTTAAGGTTTAGGGGGGCACTAGAGATGTTTGCAGTTTTTCTGCTTTCTCAGTGGTCCTGTACCCCTAACCCCTGAGAATGTAGAAGGCAGACTGTATATGGAAATGTTTTTAAAGCATTTTATATGCATAGAAAGGTAAATATATATGTGTACATTAAGACAAACTTTGGCTTACTCATGCTAAGTACAATCTGTAGGCATGTGATCCAACTTACATACAAATTCAACTTAATGACATTCTCAGGAACTCGTTCATAACCTGGGGACTGCCCGTAATTTGTTTTGTTAGGTATATATTTTCTGAATGGGGATACATTTGTGCAGACATAGGGATGGGTGCTTGAGCCAGAAAGGGAAGAAATTAAAAAAGGTAAATCTTGACCTCTGAACCTTGGTGCTGATGCAAAAATTTCAGGAAAAACACCAATAATGATAATGATTGATGATGATGAGAAACAAATCAAGCAATTGTGCAGCTACTGAAGTAAAAACTTTTCCTCTTGTATTATTCATTTAATTTTATCACTGCTTATTTTACATAAGGTTTCCCCACTGTTGAAGAAGTTTATAGCTTCTGCATCTCTACCTTGCAGCCATCTGCTATTAAGTACAAATTCTAGATTTGGTTATTGTCTGCATGGGTTTCTTGCTCTTTATGTGTTGCCTCTGGCATTTCTAGTTGAAATTTCTCAACCTGAGAAAGAGAAGAAAGATGTAGAGGGGGATACAGGGAGCAGTAGAGAGAAAACACTGTGCAGGAGACGGTGTGAAAGTCACATGAAGAAGCTTGTTATTGAGTCATGACCCAGTATGCTGACATGCTGTTGTCAAGCTGTCTTTCTGTGAAGCATTAATTAGAGCAGGCTTTTAAAAAGTATTGTCAAGGAAGGTTTTGGGACAAAAAGAACCTGGCTACTATCATAAGCTATTCAGGAGTCACATGGCCCACTTTATCCAGGAATAAAATACTCTTCCCTTACTTTAAGCACTGTGTTAACGCGAACATATTCCTTTCTTAATGAAATAGATGTTTCTCTGAACTAAAAACATTCCTAGCCATTTCTATCACTTACTGCATTCAAGGGAACAGACTGTTGAAAGACACATTGTTGCATTATTCTTGGCTATTGTAGGGCAGGTGAAAAATATATTAAACACCTTGCTGTGCTACATTGTATTAATTCATATGCCCTTTTCCTTTTTTGATTGTAGCTGCCTCCCTCCTTGCCTGCACATTCAAGATTTCCTTTTTGGGCACAGCAATTACAGTTCATTCAAACTCTTGTTCATTCTGACAGGCTTGATAATATTAGTAACTAGGTCATGAGTGCTTTCAAGAATGTGTGGGCAAGGGAAGCAAGTGTCCACATGTGATGCTACTCACCTGGTTTCTGTCTCTGGCATTTGCATATCTGAACCGCTGAATATAGTAGAAGACAAGCCATGCCAGCGAGATGATCATCAGTACAATGAAGGAGATGGACACAAACACTACAGAGGTACGGCTAACATATTTCTGCAGGTTCCGAGTTCCAATTGTTATGTGCATCATCACAGTAATATTCCGCTCCAGTAGATTCACTATCTCTTTCCCTTTTGGTTCTGGGATCATTATTGCTACAACATCTTCTGTACCTGTCAGATTGGAAAGGAGGGAGAAGGAACATTAAAAACAACACCAAATTAATCCCTATGATGATTATAGTGTCATCTGGAAAGAGTTATGCCACCGATACAGCACCTATGGTTGGAAGATTGAACAAAACACCAAGGATTAGTGAGATTCCAACTAAATGCTGCAGTGTGCAGTATTTCTCTCTAGGTTTCTAGTCAGTCATGCCCCTTTTCCAGGATACTCCATTTCATCCCTTTCTTTCCTCCCACCCAGTTCCCACAGTGAGTCAACATTCCAGAGCCGCTGGGCATGTTCAGTCTTTACATGGCTGTTTTTCTTTTCCTTGATGGGCTTTTTCTCCTTAAATAAAAACAGAGCTTCCTTGTTGTGAATGAATGGTGCCATTATAGCTAGATAAGGTGGTGCAGAATGCAGCAGTCAAATTAATAACTAAGACCTGGAAGTCCAAATATATAAGACCATTCTGGCCCACCTGCATTGGCTGCCTGTACATTTCCAGTCCCAATTCAAGGTGCTGGTCTTAACCTATAAAACCCTACACAGCTTGTGGAAGCAATACCTGTTGGAGTGCTTCTCCCAACCCAGATCTACCTGGACACTACACTCAGGCTCTGGGGCCTTCCTCTGTGCCAACCCCTTGAAGCGGTCGGAGGGTGACAATGAGCAGGAGGGCCTTTCCTTGGTGCTCCCCATATCTGGAATAACCTCCCTGCTGTGGTCCACTTGGTGCCATATTAGCAATCTTCTTGGCTCCAGGTTAAGGCAGTCCTCGTTGCAAAGATCTTGAAAGTCCTCCCTGGTCATTCAGAGCCCTGATACAATTAGCCAGATGCTTTTTATTCTTGGCTGAGTCTTTTAAATTATCGTTTATTTGTCTTTCAATTTTTTTATGTTCTTTTAACAATTTTAAAATCTATTGCATTTTATTGTTTTTATACTTTGTTGTAAACTTCCCAGAAAGCTTTGGCTATGGGCAGTATAGAAATGAAATGAAATGAAATATATAATGAACAAAGATCTACATTTGGAAAATGAGGCTGATATTAGTATACAGGATTTTATAAGGAAAGCCAGCTGGCAACTTACAGGCTTAACTTTCCCTCCTAGTAGAACTGACTCATGGCATGCAGTCACCTGGCTGCTACACAGTGTTTTGTGCTGACTTTGTTGCCCCTTTTATTCTTGGGAGGTATCCTGCTCTGTGCAGCCCATGGGTGTTCTGGAAGCCAAAAACTGCTCCTTGACCTCCTGCAGTTTCTCACCGCTGCTCTAAGGCATAGAAAGGCCCATCGATCAGTAGACTGAATTGACCCAAATGAACGGAAGGAAAAATTAAATGAAGAACAATGCTTATATTCTATCTCTTATTAGATTGTTTCTTGGTTTCTAGGTGCATTTACATTACATCTAGAACACCTCAACTTGTGGGAAGCTTATTTGGACAGCAGGAACCAGATAACTAACAGCTCACATGTGCAAAGCTGCATTCGTATTTGACCACTCATATTTAAAATTATTTTTAAAGACCAAACATGTGGCTGCTTCAAGCATACAAAATACCTAAATGTAACTCCTCCCTTGGACTGTTGGCTACATTTTCAGAGGTAACAATACAATCTCAGTTCACTTTATTCTTTCCCTTTTTGTATTTCTGGATGACATTAATGTAGCTTCCCATGAATTTTAAAGCAGCTGACAGCATGAATCACACTAAATCATGAATCAAAGGGTCAAACTGTAATGAATGGGTAGACTTTTCAGAGGCCTTTTCACTAAACATTTGATCATTCATTTTTCAAAATTATTAAACAATGAGAAGAAGAATTTGGGAGTTCTAAGGGAAGGCAGGGTCATCAAGATCGGTTCACTTGCCAAGAAATGTTTAACCAAACTTTTGTTTTTGCAAGATGGCCCACATTTGTTGATGGCTTTTAAGTGGCTTTTCATTTTGCAGCAATCTTCAATTGTGGTTGCTGATGACTCTACAATAGTACATGCAGCTTGAGTCCTGCTGAAGTAAAGAGAGACCACAAAGGCACTGCAGGGTGGTATATTGGAGTGGGACTGCCCTGCAGGTCATTGAGCTTCTGTTTCCAGGAATTAAGGAATCTCTAGACCGGCTGTTCCCAATCTGGTGCCCTCCAGAGGTTTTGGACCTAAATTCCCATTAGCCCAAGTCAACATGATCTGTGGTGTAGTGGTTAAGAGCATGGGACTGGGACTCAGACGATCTGGGTTCTAGTCCCGGCTCAGCCATGGAGTCAACTGGGTGACTTTGGGCCACTCACAGACTCTCAGCCCAACCTACCTCACAGGGTTGTTGTGGGGATAAGATGGAGGAGGAGAATGATGTAAGCTGCCTTGAGCCCTTTGTAGGAAAAGGCAGGATATAAATTGAAAAATAAATAAATAAATAAATAATACAGATTCAACCATGTCCCATCTATCACTATTAAGCTACTTCATTGGAGTATTTTCACTACATTAAAACAGAATTCAAAACAAAACAAATCCAAAAAAGCATTTTTGCTTAAATTTTTATTCATCACACGTGACCTAGGGGTTGTTTTGCAAAGAGTGTCTTCCATCAAGCACGCAGTTTTATTGGACCAGTAGTCTGCACCATACTTATTGATAGTACAATAGAGTTTAAATATGTCCAACAAGTTTTGGATCACTCTGAAATCAGCCCCAATCTAACTAGAGTACATTATGATGAAGTTCTATGGAAGTCAGTGGAACAGGTAATGCAAATTCCATTAGACAGGAGCCAAGAAGTGTATGGGTATCTGTTTCATATCACGAATGGGCCTTTCACCTCATGAATGCCATGTTGGTCATTTCAGTCTACACAAAAAGCTCCTACTAAAAACTGCCAAGACAGTTTCAAAAAGCACAGAATGAGACACTTTGCTTGAATGGTTTTCTAGCCTTCCACAGGACTCAACAGATGATAGCAGCCCTGACCAGACTGGGCCAGAGGAACAAAGAAAGACATTGTATGGGCATTCTTTCCCAGCACACGCTTAAACTACCATAAGTTGTAATGAGGGCCACCAACTTGGGTGGCTCTAAAAGGAGATCAGACAGATTAATATATACTTCCTCCAACATCTCAGGCAATATACTTCCGTAGCATCAGTCGAGAGATACAGCCATCTTCCTCTTTGGTTTGGAAACAGCAAGACATAGAAACATAGAAGCTGAGTGAGTCAAAAGGGTCCTCCTGGCCATCTAGCCTGACCCCTGGCTCCAGCTGGCTCTGCTCATGACATACCTACCATGTGCATGTCCAGCCTATGCTTAAACACCCTCACCGATGGGGCTCCCATGGAAGCCCATTCCATACCCTCGGGGTCCTAACCATCAGGAAGTACTTCCTGGCATCCACCTTGAATCTTGGTTCTCTGAGCACTGCTCCATTGGAATATGTCCTGCCCTCATCTGGAGGAGAAAAAAGGACGTGACACCCCCTCACATACCTGTATGCTGTTAACAGGCCCCCTCTAAGTCTCCTCTTTTCAAGGCTGAAAAGACCCAGTTCCCTCAGTCTCGCCTCATATGGCTTACCTTACAAACCAGCCACCATCCTTGTGGCCCTTTGCTGCACCAAAGGCAGCATGAAACTATGGAGGGAGAAGAGGAGATCACAACAACACTGTTTATTTTCACTTAATAAAAATCTCTGTGGAGAGTTGGAGTGCTGCAGACCTGCAGGTACACCCAGGAGAGGGGATACCCACCTCAGGACTGCAGAGGCTGCTGTGGTCTATAGACAAGAATAGGAAAGGATGGGGATTTTGCTGGGAGGGGCTACCATGATACACGGAAAGGCCAGGAAGGACAGAGTGGGGCACACAAAAACCGTGCTGCCTGGGGTAACCATGCCATTGTCTGACCCGTCAGTCCAGTCTACATGCTATGGAAACAACACAGGATTGTTTTTGCCATGTCAAATGAATCCAGACAGTCTCTTACTGAAAATACCGCTGCAGGTGATGATTCCAACTCTGACTATGAACTGCCCTCCATGGCAGAACAATTTGACAGAATAATCAAAGCCCCTGAGGCTCTCTCCCTGCACCCTTTTTCTTTTAACACTGGTCATGTAATGGCTGGCAATTAATATGGAGCAATTAAAACGAGAATCTTCTGCTCAGATATTAGCTGAATGATTTAGGCCTCCACCGAACCTGTCTGAATGCTAATTAGGACTCCTTTCAAAATTCAGACCAGACAGACAAGATACAGCTAGCTGTGATCCTTCCAATACAGCACAAACTAAGCCAGTGTTTATTGTTGGGTAGCGAGGCCAAGAAGTTTCTTCTTATGTTGCTGCAATCAGTGCCAGTTGTGCCAAGGACCCAAAGAGCTCAGAACTTGCCGGCTTTAATAGTATGCAGACACCAAGGCAAACAGGATGCATCTTGAAAATGACCAGTGGAAGAGATGGATTTTGTGCTCAATTCCTTAACCTTGATTTTTTTTAAAAAAGCCCATCAATCAGTAAGGCAGATGAAATATTGAATTAATAATACTGCTGTTTATTTTTGTTAGACTGCAAATGTCTTAAACATCTAGACAGTTAAAGTTCTATTAGATATCATCAAAGGCTTTCAAAACGTTGCCTCTTTGAAAACATTTTATTTTGTGAGTGCTGGCAAATTACCCTCAATACCTCTCTAGAGACAGCCTGTTGTTGTTTTCTTTTTAAAATCTATGCGTGGTTTCAATCAAGCAATCTTACTGAATTCTACTGAAGTCTTACACTGAGACTCTGCTTTGATTTTGCAAATCCCTGAAGAATTTTATCTCAGTCCTTCAGAGCCTCCTCCTCACAGTCCCAGGACAGACTTCTCAGAGCCTTAGCCACAGATTAAGGTAACTGCCACAGACGTTCCTTTCAGTGTACTCTTTGCCTCCTCACATCCTCTATCACTACAGTTCTTACCATAAATTCTGGAACAGCAAGCTTAACAGGGTACAAGTTTAATGGATT